GTTCCGGCAGGTCCGCGAGGTCTGCCAGCAGCTCGCCGGGCAGATCCACGGCGCGGAGGATCGGCACCTTTTCCGCCCGACCCCCCAGCCCAAACCGGGACGTGGCATCGCAGCCCCACCATCCCACCACCCCAGCTGGGTATGGGCCCCTCGAAACCCGGAGGCGGAGGCGACGGACTGCATCCCCTACCAGGGGGGCAGATGGGCCTCTGGTCGGCGTCGCCCCAACATGCAGATGAGACTTGTACTCGTCGCCCCCCCTGGGGCGACGCGCGCGCCGAGAACTCATAGAGTCCAAGCTCCGTGGCGGGCGCTGTCTGGCCACACCGCTCGGGAAACGAGACACGACACTACGATTCTACTACATGCTCGGGTCGGACGTGAGCCTCCGGGCAGGACACATAGTACTGGTATGTCCTTGTGCGTCCCATACAGTGCCGTTTTTAGTACATGCTCCGCGTGCGGATCATGTATTACAAATGCAGGGATTTAGCATTACACACATCGGTGAGTTCATGCCTAGATTTATCTCTAAATCAATCATGTATTAAACATCCCATGCTTTTTTTTATATAAAAATCCCATGTCTTAAACACTGCCCTGTACATTCCCATCTGGCGGGGCAGCCCGGCCTCCGGGGCCCCGGCCACGCCAGCGGGGTAGGTAGATCGGCCCACCGCTGCTCCGAGGAGCGGGCCGCCAGGGCCGAGCTCTGCGAGGCGCGCACCCTCGAGGACTGCGCCGCCCGCCGCGGGCGGCTGGACGCCGAGGCCCTGGCCCCCCTCCTCCTCCTCCATCCTCCTCCATCCTCCTCCTCCTCCTCCTCCTCCTCCTCCTCCTCCTCCTCCTCCTCCTCCTCCTCCTCCTCCTCCTCCTCCTTTCTTCCTCCTCCTCCTCCTCCCCCTCCTCCCCCTCCTGGCCGCCGCGGTGCCGGCCTCGCATCGGCGACTGCAGAGGGTGTGGTTACGCCGAGGCGTGGTCTGCGATCGGCGCCGCTGGTCCGCCACGCGCAGAGGGGGGTGAGGGGAGGGGGGAGGGCTTCTTAGAAGCACCCCCGCTCCTGAGAAGGCGCGGGCCTCATCTACAGATGTAAGGCCGGCGCCTTCTGAGAAGCAGCCTGCCTCTAAGAAGCCCTCCCCCCTCGCCCCACCCCCCTGAGCGCGCCGCCACGTTGGGGCCCGGGGGCAGGGGTGCCCTCGCCGGGCCTCCCCCGGGGCGCCGCGGAGAGAGCTCCGCCGAGGGCTTCGCCCCCGCCCCCCGGGGTGCTCCCCCCGGCGGTGCCGGCGGCAGCCCACGCCCCTTCGCAAGCCGCGCCCTCCGGAGCCGCGGATATCCGCAGGGCTCGCAGACGCACCGCCAGGGCGCCAACCTCTCGCCGCCCGCCAGCCAGCCGAGGGCTGAGGCGGCTCACCCCGCCGCCCCTGCCGCCGGAGCTCCACGGAGGAAGAGGTACCGGCACCGCTACCCTTCAGTCGGGCGTGTCCCTCTGCAGGAGGAGTGTTCACAGATGGTCAGTTTTAGTCTGGGGGGGGGTTTTCGACGATCTGTTTTACTACTGTGTTTGAATACGAGTTCGACTGCTTGTCGTCTTTCTTCCGAAGCCCGCGTGCAGGAAAGCACCCCCGACCCATCGCTGCCCTCGCGTCGTCCTCGCCCTCTTGGGCCTTTTGTGGGAGGCCCTCGCCGCCACGACGGAGTTCGCCTCGGCGCTCTGGTCAGGCCGCACCCCAGGGGAGGCCCAGGGAGTGGCGGTATCGGCGTGTTTCAGGAGGGGAAAAAACGCAGACACAATGAATCGTCGATTATTCGGAAAGTATGGAAAATATGGGAAGGGGGGGGGAAGACAGAAACCCCAGGAGAGGCCCGGGGAGTGGCGGCATCGGCATGGTTCTTACCAGTTTGGAACATATCCCTATCCCTATGTTTGACATCACCTCGCCTCGATGCCGACCTTGAGGATTCCCTCAGTTTCTGAGGGCCTATCCCTAAGATTGTCCTCGCCTTTTGCTCGCCCATCCTAGGGATAGGGATAAGTTCGAGGCTGCTTAGTTTCAGGAGGGGAAAAACACAGACACAATTAATCGTCGATTCCCCAGAAAGTATGGAAAACATGGGAAGGGGGGGAAGACAGAAACCCAGAAAACATGTGAAACAATCAAGCAGTGGCGAAGCGTCCTGGCTCGCCTACAGCCCTACCGAACAATGTTCTAAGAACATGTTGTGGTTTCCACGAAATGTTCTTAGAACATTCCTGGCGGAGCATGTCTTGTTTTGTCTCATCGGGCTCATGTTCTAAGAACATTGTTTTTGTTCTGAGAACATGTGTGGGTTCTAGGAACATTTCGTGGTAGGACTATAGGAATGCCGGGACGGTCAGTCCCTGCTCAAGATATGGGGAATCTGGTTATCCGTGTCTATTTGTTTGAGTGCCCCAGTTCCCCTTCAATGTTGCGGTCTCCCCAGGAGCGGAGGCCGCGGAGCAGCTCGCGAGGCTCCAGCGGCGGCTGCACCAGGATCAGGAGGGGAAAGAACACACAGGCACAAGGAATCGTCGATTCCCAGGGAAAGATGGGAGAATGTGGGAAGTGGGGGGGGGAAGACAAAATCCCAGAACATATGCGAAGATATAGGGGGATCCTGTTGTTTGCGCGTGTGGTCTCCCAGGGCCCCTTCACAGGAGGAGGGCGAGTGCTCCCGCTGGCGGCGGATGGTCCTCGAGGAGCAGCGGAGGAACGCCGAGCTGCAGGCCGAGCTGCAGGCCGAGCTGCAGGCGCGGCGCGCCGAGCGCGAGTCGCGGCGGAGCACGCCGCAGCAAGCTGCGCGGGGGGGGGGGGGTCAGAGGAGGAGCAGGCACCGACCCGGCTGCTCGTCGGTCGCGGAAGAGAGGTGGGTATTTCTGGGTTCCCGGATCCCGGTCCGCCGTGGGTTCCTTTCCTGCTGCAGCGGTCGAGTGCTCTTTCGTTTTCCTTCCTCTTCAGGGGTCGGGCGGGATCCCCAGTCTGCTTCCGACGCCCTCCTTTCTTTCATACTTCCACCAGCTTCTTCCGACCTGCGGGTGCCACTACCCTGGCCTCGGTTTCCCCTTTGGGGGGCCTCCGGGGCGACCCTTGTTTGTCGCCACTGCTGGATGCGCGCCGAAGGGCTGGGCGGAGCGCTCCCCGAGAGAGGTCCGGGGGAGTGTCAGGAGGGGAAAAAACACACAGACACAATGAATCGTGGATTCCTAGGAAAATATGGGAAAATATGGGAAGTGGGGGGGGGAAGACAAAAACCCAGAAAATATGGGAACATATGAGGGATATTTGTATTTGTGTGTATTTATTGGTGTGTCCTGGGGCCCCTTCAGGAGTGGCGGTATGGGTACCCTTCTGGTTTCTCCGGAGGGAGCGCCGCGGGTCGCCCGGGGTCGGGGCTGGGCCCACCCCGGTGTAGGGGAGGCCGCGTGGGCTCCTCTTGAGGCGGAGGGGGAGGAGGAGGAGGAGGAGGAGGAGGAGGAGGAGGAGGAGGAGGAGGAGGAGGAGGGAGGCGGAGGGGGAGGAGGAGGAGGAGGAGGAGGAGGAGGAGGAGGAGGAGGAGGAGGAGGAGGAGGAGGAGGAGGAGGAGGAGGAGGAGGAGGAGGAGGAGGAGGAGGAGGAGGAGGAGGAGGAGGGGAGGAGGAGGGAGGAGGAGGTGGAGGAGGAGGAGGAGGGAGGAGGAGGAGGAGGAGGAGGAGGAGGAGGAGGAGGAGGAGGAGGGAGGAGGAGGAGGAGGAGGAGGAGGAGGAGGAGGAGGAGGAGGAGGAGGAAGAGGCGGGAAGTTGAGGAGGAGGAGGAGGAGGAGGAGGAGGAGGACTGCTGGGTTGTGGCGGTGCGTTGCCGGGCGCGGTCGGCACGGCCACAGAGGAGGCCTTGGCTCGAGGTTTGCCCGCGGTTTTTCGCGCCTTGCTGGAGCCCTGACGATGCTGCTGATGTTGATGACTGATGCTGATGATGCTGCTGATGATGATGACGAGGAGGAGGAGAAGGAGGAGGAGGAGGAGGAGGGGGAGGAGGAGGAGGGGGGAGGAGGGAACTTCGCATCACGTGGCGAAATCCCTCTGCCTGGAAGCTTGTGCCTCCCAGTCGAGCTCGGCTCGACCGGGGGGCACGCTGCACGAGGGCAGCCCGGCCTCGTGCACGGGCGCCCCCCCCCTTCCCGCGCGCATCCCCGCGCGGCGCGGGCGCAGACGCGGCCGCCGCGAGGCTGCCGGAGGGGCCCGAGCAGGTGCGCGCTGCCCTGCGCGACGGCGGCGCAGACGCGACCATCGCCGGAGAGGAAGCACCTGCAGATCGGCCACGCGCAGAGGGGTGGGCTGAGGGGATGGGGGGAGGCTTCTTTCAGGAGGAGAAAAAACACACAGACACAATTAATCGTCCACTCCCAGGAACATATGGGAAAATATGGGAAGTGGGGGGGGGGAGACAAAGACCCACAAATTATCCCGGCAAAGCAACCTAACAGCGATATGTAGAAGCATATCTGAAAGCATTCCCCTTATGATTCAGATGAAAATCCAGTTGTAGAATTCTGCTGTTCTCGCAGTCGTAGTCGCATTCGCGATGACAGTCGCAGCGGCAACGGCAGTCGCAGTCACAGCCTCAGCCTCAGCCTGCCTCAGCCTCAGCCTCAGCCTGCCTCAGCCTCAGCCTGCCTCAGCCTCAGCCTCAGCCTGCTTCAGCCTCAGCCTCAGTCTACCTTCAGCCTCGGCCTCAGCCTCAGCCTGCATCAGCCTCAGCCTGCCAGCCTCAGCCTCAGCCTCAGCCTGCCTCAGCATCAGCCTGCTTCAGCCTCAGCCTCAGCCTGCCTCAGCCTCAGCCTCAGTCTGCTTCAGCCTCAGCCTCAGTCTGCCTTCAGCCTCGGCCTCAGCCTCAGCCTGCCTCAGCCTCAGCCTGCCTCGGCCGCAGCATCAGCCTGCCTCAGCATTCAAAATGTGGCCCAGGAATGGAGTTCTGGGAACTAGAAGAACACGAAGTGGCCTACAGTTGGCTCCGGGCATTCAAAATCATACCCAGGAATGGAGTTCTGGGAACTTGAAGAGCACGAAGTGGCCTACAGTTGGCTCCGGGCATCCAAAATGTGGCCCGGGAATGGAGTTCTGGGAAATCGAAGAGCACGAAGTGGCCTACAGTTGGCTCCGGGCATCCAAAATGTGACCCGGGAATAAAGTTTTGGGAACTCGAAGAGCACGAAGTGGCTTACAGTTGGCTCTGGGCACTCAAAATGTAGCCCGGGAATGGAGTTCTGGGAGGTCGAAGAGCACGAAGTGTGTGACTGTTGGCGAAAAGCGAGCCCGGCTCTGTTCCCGGTTCTCCAGAATGTGGCGCGGGAATGGAGTTCTGGGAGGTCGAAGAGCACGAAGTGTGTGACTGTTGGCGAACAACGATTCCCGGTTCTCCTCCCCGGCACCCGCCCAGACCCCCCTGAGGAGTCATGATGCTCTCTTTTGACCCTACTAGAAACCTATCAGCAAACGCTGTTAGGTAAATATGGGAACATATGGGGGATATTTTAAGTTGTGCGTATTTATTTGTGTGTCCCAGGGCCCCTTCATTCTTGGAAGGAGGCTGCTGCTTGGAAAGGCTTCGGGCCCTTCAAGGCTGGCGCCTCCTTTTGGCTCAAGCTGGCGCAAGGCCTTCCAGGATCGAGCCGTCCAGGATATATCACCCCGCACTGACGCTCCAGGACTCTCAAACCACAATCCTCATATTTCAGGAGGGGAAAAAACACACAGACACAATGAATCGTCGATTTCCAGGAAAATATTGGAAAACATGGGAAGTGGGGGGGAAAACAAAAACACAGAAAATATATGAAAATATTGGGAATCCTATCATCATCTGTGCGTATTGATTTGTGTGTGTCCCAAGGCCCCTTCAATATTCCACACTCCCATAGACGGGATCCGGAAGGAGATGTCCCCCACCGGCTTCACCCCAGAACGCAAGAAGGCCAGGGAGGGAGAAGCGCCAGCTGACGACCAGGAGCCTGAGCTGCATCCCCAGGATCAGGCCAGCGTCGACACCATGTCCAACCGCATGCGAAGCATCATGGAAGACAAAATGGAAGACAAATGATCGAAGTACGAGAAAGCCACAGATGAGAAGATAGCCAAGGTGCAGAAACATATTGGCTATATAATGTTGAAACATTTCGAAGGAGGCCAAGGCACTTCACACGAGAACATATGCCACAGCTCAACAGGTACAGCAACTACAGGAGACGATCGATATCATAAGCCCAGCGGTCACGACAGGAACTTGCAACTGGTTGAACATAGCTTCCCATCCGACATCGATGAGACCGCAGTCGTCGATTACCTCACGGAGCTCACGAAGGACAGTAATTACCAGGACCGTGTGCATATCATGTTCTGCATGTCGGACCCTACCAGCGTCGGGTACATTGAATTCCGGACGCCGGCCAGAAAACGGTTTCCACAGAATGATGCGCGAGAGTCCAGCCCAAGCACCAGGAGGACAAGCGGAATACCATCTACGATTCAGGTGCAACCGCACGAAAATGCAGGCATGGAACAATCCGGCTCCACCAAATACCGCCTCAACCGTCCCCTGAGTACCTCGCTAGAGGACATCCGAATCGTCAGGGACACTCTTTCGGTCAAGCTTCTGGTGTAACTGGCAGCCACCTCCGTGAACAGAGAGATCGATTACCACGACTGGGGCCTCGAATTAAAGGTGTCAGTAAGCCCATCGATGCGCGAACGGGACGCCAAAGGCCCAATCAACGTGCGAAGCGGGTGCGGCCCCATGCCGCCCCAGAAGAATGTGAAGATTTGTATAAGTTTAGCTCTCATTGGCATTCCGGGTTGTTTCTTCCCTCCTGTTCTCCCCGTCCTCCTTGTCCAGTGGTGCATGAACGCCCCCCGCCCTAGGAATGCCAATGTGTTCAAGAATTCGGTGTGCAACAAATTCGGTGACCTTCTATTACGCCCCAGCCCTCCAAGAATTCTGCCTTCAGGGCAGTTATGTTTCCCGCCGACATTGCGACCACCTACAACAACAGCGAAGACGGGCAGCACAGGAGGTTGCGTAACCTTTTTTGCGCATGCAGACGGCAACGTGCCCATCAGCATCCTGACAGCACTGCGGCCCTAAATGCCGACCGACACAGGCCAACGCCGACCAACGTCCACGCCCGCCGACCCCGTCGCCGACTGGCGACGGCAACGGGCCCAAACACCGACCACCGACTACGACTGACCTGCGGCACCAACCACCCACGAGCGACGTGGACCCCTGGCGACCACCGCCGACAACCATCGAACAGCAATGCCACGCGCAACACCGACGGCAACCAGCCAACAACACCAACGACCAACCAGCACCGACCAGCGTCGACCGCCAGCACCAGCGCAAACGGCACCGACCCCAGTCGACCAGTAACACGCGCCAGCGCCCACCGCCGACCGCGCACAACCAGCACCGCCACGACAAACAGCACCGACCCCGACCGACGAGAAACACCCAACACCACCCGCCCACCACCTCCGACCAGCGCTACCAGAGGCAGCGCCGACCCAAACCGACGCCCGCCAGCGTGCACCGCCGACTACGACCGACCAACAACACTACGAACAGCTCCGATGCCTACAGACCGAACACACCCAGCGCCGCTCACTGGCAACAGCTGACAAGCAACGCCACAAGCAGCGCCGTCCTTCACCGACCAGCAGCACCCGCCAGCGCCCACCACCGACCACCGACAAGCAACACCGCAAGCAGCACCAACCCCAACCGACCCGCAGCACACGCCAGCATCCACCACCGGCCACGATCGACCAGCGCCACTACAAGCAGTACCGACAAGCGCTCACCGTCTACCACGCCCGACCAACGCCGCAAACAGAACCGACCTCAACCGACCAGCAGCGCCCACCAGCGGACACCGCCGACCACCACCGACCAACACCATCACGAAAAGCACAGACCCCAGCCGACCCTCAGCGCCCA